AGAATACACAGTAAATGTACATGTGCGCAAAAAATCAAAATTAACTTTTCAGAATGAGTGGATTAACCAAGAGCTCCCAAAATGTTCATGTTCATGAATGGAAAGGTTCATTTTAATGCTCCTATGTACTTGCACATGTACGGTATGTACATGTGCACGCATGTATCGGTACATGTACATGTTCCTCGGAGTACCGATATGTACTCTACATGTACATGTACGTCATTCTAATAGTACATGTACTTCATTAGGTATTTGCGAATGGGGTTGTAAGGCCGTTATTTTCCCCAGTGAGTTTGTTTCAGTTTGCGTTTAATAGAAAGAGCAAGCCAAGCTCTTTGTTTTAATGTGTCACTCATTTGGGCATCCCAGTGAAAAACGAGCACGGTGTGGGTGAAAAATGTTGAGGGTTCTGATTGGTTCCCATAGAGCAGGATTGGTCGACAGGCCTTTAAACTCTCAAGTGGCTCTACGGTGACTTGCGACTCACTTTCACTGAGCGGGTCACGTTTTCGTAGAGAAGCTACTCTCGGTTTTGAATCATTGCCCCTCCGAGCATGCTGCCGGTAGGCCAAGGCCCATGTGGAGAAATGCATGTACATACATGTACATACACCGACTTGTGCAACCATTTCCGTCCCCAACGCACAGCCCCGTGCCATCAAACCTTTTGCTCACTGTACCGAGAAACGGAATAAAAATAATGGAAGGGTGGGATGAAGAAACAAACCGATCCAGTGAGTTCGGTTTGCCCTCCAGAAGAAAGTCAATACCAAGGGATGGATTCTTATTGATTTCAGGGGGCCATCTGTAATGGCATTTTGTAGTTGCGTTGCCTCGGTCAACAATTGCCGAGCTTATGATGTATCCAATTCACTGGAGAGCGAGAAATGAAAAGAAAGAAAGTAAAGAACCCACGCAGTCATCGTTGCGACCAAAGACAACGGCCGAAGGGTGGCCGAATTCAGCTGCAAACCACCGAAGACAGCAGGCTACGGCGGAGAGCTGTCAACCACCACGGAAGGATCTGAAGAGTTGTGCTTGTGGTAACCTGTGATATTTCCCAGCTGCCGGATTAAGGAGCTGATATAAATTACTGATGAGCAATTAAGCTGGCTCCACATGTATCAGGGCATTATTTTTTGGTGACATCAGCATAATTATGATAAATTTTCGTTACCAGAAGTTTCCCTTCTGAAGAGAAGAAAATTACATGTACGGTGCATGACAGGCTTGCCACCTCAAGGCTACGTACACGCACCTAATCCAAAGATTTAAACCAACTGGGCTATTTTGTGTTTCCTTCAGTTGTTATACTCATACAATAATCTCGATTTCTAGCAGGAAACCAAGGTTTCAACATCCAAGCCGCCACGGCTCAGAGACTTGAGACATCAGGCAAAGACGACATGTTTATGTCTTAAAGGTTTGGGTGAAATCCTAGAATGATACCCTGACGACAATCCACACAATGTGGCCCAGCCACCCCCATCGTATGTACACCGTACACGTTGGCCTGGGTGGAAATCAAACCCGGTCCTACTCCTTGAAGTATTAAGATTCACGCAGAAATACATGTACACGTAACGCTGCGCTGTTCGTGAAACGTGAAAGTTTCCTCCAGGACTGACGAAGAGTTAACATCACCATCAAAGGAAGATAACAGGTGACTGCCGGCACACTGCGCGCCCAAACCTGCGGCAACCACGCTACTGGAATACTTGAAAACAGTGCCACCCGGTCGATTCAAACACGGTTTGCTAATCAGGTTGAGAAAGGTGGCTTCCTGAATCTGCAATCCATCAAGATTTGTCCTCTTGTCTGCCGCAGGGGAGGGAGGGAGAGAGGAAGGGGGCAAGACAATGACCGATCTCACTGTTCAGAATGTGCCCCGATAATTGCAGTCAATTGTTTGGCTTGGCTGCGGTAACGTCGTTATATGCCAAGGAGGGCAGGAGAGTTTACCGAGAGGCGTGCTCTGAAAGTGCAGTCTTGCCCTAACTATTTGATCCTGTTTTTACATGTGCCGTACGAGGCAGTGCAAACGTACACAAACCTGGAACTCTCAAGTAGTACGCTCTGTCAAGTGCACTTCCATAAAAGGTGGACATCGATAAGTGGGACAATGGTTGTGGGTACGTGTGGGTCATATCATAAAAGAGAAAGTTATGAATGTAGGGTACTGTACGACTTAGGCTGATTAAAAATATCCACTGTACATGTATGTGCTCATATAGTGCCTTGTTCACACAGGATTCAAGGTGCTTCATGATAACTACATGTACCCTCATTCACTGGGTCATGTTCGCTGCTTTTGACTTTTCACACGGCCCGATGACCACCTTCCAGTTCTACAACCTGAACAGCTTGATTCCCCTCCCCCCAGTTTTGCTTAATTTAAATAAAAACAAAGATAAAATATACTCCATCTTAAACTATTAGCTCTGTTATAACCTTATATCTCAGCCCCCTATGGAACAGCGGGGGGGGGCTTCAGCATCATGAGTTATTTAGGGGGTAAATTCCAGTCTGGTCCCCTCCCCCCAACAAACTCTCAGGTGTGTAATTGCTTGCAAGTCTACAGTCCTGACTGCTTTCGCACATACTGTACATGTGCATCAGCAACCAGTGAAAATCAGCATTCAAATGAATTGCAGAGGATGTTCTCACTAGCCGTCCTACCCCTTGCTTGCACTTGTAATAACTGGGCCCTAAATAATTACCACACTTCCCCTCCCCTGCTCCGCCTTCAGCCCGTCCTTGAGAAGAAAAACCCATGCACTCTTCGATAATTCCAGCTAGCGCGTCCGTGCAGAGGAAATGATTGTCCAACCTGGTCCACTTAAAAAACACCCCAGCCGATTATTCGCCTAGCACAACCAAATTTTCCGAGCCGGTCCAATGTAAAAAAAAAACACAGCCTGTGTTTATCTTAAACGTTAGCGAATCAGATGTGCAATGCACGGGGGGGAGGACAGTAGAGAGATAGCACGGCCGAGGCAATCAATTGGCTAAATGTCACCATGCCCCCTGGCCACAGGGGCTACATTTGTACATCATTTTCAAAAGATTAAAAAAAAAATGGCAGCGGTGTTGTTATAGTTTGCCTTGACGGCCAGGGGGGTTTATTTTGGAATATTTTCTTTTTTCTTCATAGCTAGATTAATCGAGGAGCGAGGCATGAGCGCGTGTAGAACACATGCGCGATAGCAGTAATTTAATTAGGAATGCGGCAAATGCAATTGGTGATTGTCAAGTTGCGACCATTTTGATAATTCAATGGATAAAAAAAAATGGCCTCCAACGCTGCAAGACACAATATTATCTTCCATCTACAAATACTTCCCTTATAAGAGTAATTCCAGAAATGAGTGGTCCATTTTTTTTGGTGTCCCTGTCACATCTGACACATGATATTGTAAGTTCAGAACACATTTTCTAATTTCCAAGAGTGACAAACTAACGCAAATTACAGGTACCTGCCAAATAATAGTTTGAAATCAATTCCATTGATATTTCCATGTCAAAAACCAAAAGTCAGATGTAACAAGGACACAAAGATGACACAGTTTTGGACCCCTAATTTCAGGAACTACCCAGAAATGTGTACATCGTATAATTATTTTTACTAGCTGAATTAAACCTTTTTCATAACAGTGAACAAAAGAAGCAATGTTTCTCAAATACCATTAAGAGAATCAATTCATTTCATCCTGACACATTTTTTTTTCAAATCTGAACTCCTATTTTGGGGAGGTGCAAGTAACCGATACCCAACTGAAAAATACGAGAGTACACTGCCCCAGTTCCTAGTGATATCACCCACAACTTTTCTTCGTAATTTCTGAATCAACCTCCCTCAAAACAAGGTACCAGCACAACATTCCGTTAATTCAACTACATGTACATATAGTTACCCATCAAAATGAAATACAAATGTTGTTTGCGTTGTTTACAAGTAAACACAAACACTGTTTTTGAAATATGTCTCCCAAATAACTTGTGTGTACATGTAGCACATGCTACTGAGCACAGTGCAGCAGTGGGGCAGGGGAGCATCTGTAATGGCCAAGCTATGCAACCAAAATAACTCGGCTGCAGCTTGAAATTACACATGACTCTCATAGACTTGTGTGTGACTTCAAGTCACAGCCAATTCAGTTGGCCGCAGCCATAGTCACGGGCCTTTGGATACCCGATCAGGTATCCGGTACAACTAAGTGAATTTTGCATTCAGATCCACAATGGTACACTTTGATAACCCACTGAAGTGGTTTTAAAACTTGCCACAAATGAAAAGACAAGATATATGCACTGTGTGTTTGCCTAAGCAACTTTAAGTTGACAAAAGAAGCCGAAAGCAATGCAATAAATCTCGGCCGGTAACTGAAATGACTTCGGTTGGAAACTATCCGTTCCAAGAAAAGCATCCCTCTGCAAATGGGTCTAAATCCAGTCTTTCAAAGCAACGTAGAGTGCGCACACATGCGTCCCTTGTGACCTTGTGAAAATAGGAAGCTTCAAACCGAGCAATGTGACCTCTGCGATATTGCCCAAACATTATTGATGTTATTGATTGCGACGGCACGAAACAGGGGACAGCGTCTTCGGTAATTGTCCCTGGTATTTGGAAGACACAGGAGCAAGACACGTTATTCAATGGCAAACGATTTTTGTCTGCTAAATATTTCCTAATTAAAAAGCAAGCTTGGTGTACCTATGTTGAGTTCTGCAGTGAGACACGTCTACACAGATAGTTAACGCAGTTACCATGCCAACTAATAGTTGCTAGGCTCTATTTTCCTAAATCCTCCAAAAGCAGCAAAAGTTCTCAAAAGCAGCAAAAGTTCTCAAAAATTCTGAATGACCTCAGAGGGTTAATACCGTACCAGGTTAAGTTCACAGAAAGCAACACTGTAAAAGAAACTAAAGCTTGTAAAAAGTCCATCTAAATCTGAAATTGGAGACCAACACAATTAAAAAATAATGCCATTTCTTACCCTACTTCTGGCAGCAGTACAAGTGCAGATTGACATCTTGTTGCTTCACCTTTGACCTTTGGGGCTACCATGCTTCGTATTCAAAATCCAAGAGCTCAGCTTTCATCTCCCCCCGCAGCAAGCAGAGCGAGTTGTGTACGTGTGTTTGTTTGTTTGGCTTTGGTCTCCTCCAATTCAATTAGTGTCAATGTACATGTACCTCCGCACAAAATGGCATTTGCACAAAAAATTACATGGCCGAGTGCCGTGGCAGACTCAAATGTCAAGCGGCCATTTTACGTTACCACATTTTTTTTCGGGCATCTCTCTCTTGTACTCCTGGTGTAAATATTTCCTGGAGTTTGACAAACAGCGAGCCTCCACGAAATGGCAATAATTTCCTCGTGTGCACGGCGAAACAGGATCGGGTTCCCTGACACCCAACACGCCCACTCCAAAAATTACCGAGAATTGTTTGACGTGTTGCAATCTTTTGTGCACATCTACATCTGGAGGTTGTTATCTCTCCAAGTTTAAAAGACACCATCTAATGTGGTATTTTTCAAGGGAAACGAAAACTCAACTCGTCCTTCCCCCAAAAAAACCGTGGCTGTGGGTCAGCAAACCAGCTTGCACTCATCTGTCAAGAATGCCGAAACTTCTTCCAGAGATACCCTTATCTACGGTGACCCTCGCAACTGTCAAAGACGATATATTTGGACGAGGGCCACCAAAAAAGGCAAGAAACAGTTCTCCTTCGCTGGCCAATGTTTACAGTCATTGTGGAATGCCTCCCATACTTGTGGACCTGACCGGCACTGGGCTGATGGCCTAGGTGAATGTTCCCAATGGCATCCAAGATTTATGACGTTATCAGGTACAATTTTACCGTACAATGAAACTGGCAAAATTGCCACACATGTCAGTTGCTCCTCACAGACAGGATGACTCAGATTTGGGAGCAATCTTTTTTCTCTCTTTTAAGTTTTTACTTTCTTTCCCCACGAGTCAGTCAAGCACTGTTGGCTGAGGGGGTTAAAAAGTCAGTTTCACTGGCTGCTCCAGCGGGAGTTGAACCTGGAGCTTTCCCGTTACAAAAGTCCAGACCATTGTCACCAATTGGCAATGCTCAAATCCACTGGGGACTCTGGTGGGAACTGAACCTTGTCCCGCTCAGTTCATGGCGCGTTAGACAATGAAGCATTTGCTTGCTCCACAAGGGTGGGCGGCTACAATTCTTGTTGATATGGAATGTTCCACGAGCAAACACTCGGGTGAAAATGAGCCACAAAGGGCTGTCTTGTTTTCCTTTAAAAAGAACTCTGGGCTCCGGCCTCAGAGGGAAGACCAATCATTCCCGTCCTAATGCGCACTCATCCCCCGCTGATAACTGTTCAACTTCGGTTACATTGTAACTGATGAGATTTATTTATAATGCTAGGTGGAAATGCATACACCATCGGCTGTGAAGACGGCGGACGACATTTCTCGTGGCTTGTATCAGGTGCCGAGGAGTTTTAAGCTCCGCTGAGATGCGCACGATATTCTTCGCTGCACTCGCTAGTTCTCTCCTGACAGATGAAAAAGGGGATCAAAGTCTGCCAACAATTCATGAATGGGTCTCGGGTAGCCGTAACTGAGATGTACTGCACCCAAAAAAAATCTTTTAACTTAATCAGCTGCCTACATAAGTATAAAGTTGAGACATTTGTGGCCAAAGAGAGAGGGGGGACAAATGTGTTAACCTGATCAACTGCCTACCCAAGCACAAACTGGAGTCTTCTGAAGCCACCAAAATGTGTTAACTTGATGACGGCTTAGGCAGCAGAAAATTGCACCATTGCCCAACACGGGGCCAATTTCAGAAAGCTGATTACGTAAGAACACACACATCTGCTTAGCATAAATGTAAATACATCGGTAATGCTTCAGTTGGTATTCTTAATTTTTCTGCTTAATATAAACCACTGCTGCTAAATAAATCAAATATCCAGAAACACCTTTTAAGCAGCTAGAAAAGATATACTAAAATGCCAGCAACAAACAGGGTTACCGGCTAGAATCTTATACCATGTATTACATGTATCTTTACAACTACTTTTGGTTGGTATTCTGCCTTCCTTTGTTAACTGTGCTAACTCGTTAAGCAGGATTTTGCATAATTTGTAATGCAACTTTTTAAATCTGCCAAAGTGGATATGTTTGAAGTCATTACAAGTTCAAATAACATTTTGAAAAGAATTATTTTGGCTAGTTTACGGGTATTCCAATTTTTTGAAGCCAGCAGATTGGCCAACTTTGGCTACAATAGAAGCAGCTCTGGAAACAAGTGATTAACAAGTGAGGAAAAAGGAAGAAAAACTTCAAAGTTCTGATCACAGGTTCTTGAGCTTCCATTAACACAAACAGCAAATCCCAACAGGGGAAAAAAGTGTGGGCTCATTTGCATGAAGGAGGTTGGAGACCGGTGAAGCTGATGGTCCAAATGCACAGTGACACTCAAGATAAATTCCACTACAGATGGCCTGCGTTATGCCCGATCACACACCAAAATAGTTTTGGATAGCTTGATGGCAGGTATTCGCCACATGGAACCATCACACGCACAACACTCTGGATGGAGAGAGACGGGCCACGAATAGCGTGAGCGATACAGCACGATTAGCCAATCAAGTGTTTTGTGGAGTGGTTTCCCGGTGGCAGCTAGCTCTCTAACTGACAGACAAAAAAAAAACCCTGTTGAATAAACAGTGGAAACATAGACACTGAAGCACAAGAGCTATGTGTAAGTTTGACCAGTGCTCCTCGACGGCAGAAAACTGGACAACGGGGGTTGTGCAAACCCACTTTTAATGCCAGGGCCTTGTGTGAGATCTCCCAAGGGCAGGCCAGACAGCACAGTTGCTCTCAGTCATCACAGCCAGTTGAGTCCTGTTGGCACACTGTCATCGACGGGCAGGAACGTTTTCACACTTCTCAGAAGTGCATCTGATGCTTTGAACGGTCCAATGAGTAGCGTTGTCTGAAGGGTGCAGAAATGGCAACGGTTGATGCATTTTTAGTCGATACTTCTAAACCCAGCGATGCTCCAATGGAACATATGTCAACAGACACACAATCGTACCGAATATATATATATACTGGTATATACGGCAGCCCGGCATTAATCTAAAGGGTGAAACTGCCTTGCACCCGGCTGCGTCAAACACTCAGATGATTTAGGGCGCACCAATTACTGCCAGGGAAAAAAATTCCTTGGGCTGAATTCTTTGGGTGCACAAAGCGAAGACTGTATGGGAGCAGGCTCGCAGAGTCAATTTCGGCCTCCGCACCGAAGCCGTGGTGGAATTCTCGGCCAACGCTCCGCATCGAACGACGGGTCCCCCGGTGTGATTAATGTCCGATCGGCCCGGCCATATATCTTGATAGCATGATGGGAATAATAATCCATGTATCACATCAGAAACGCCGGCTTCAACACTGGCACGGAATTTCAAAATAAATCATGGCTCATTCTTCCCACCCATCCCACAAATCTCCCTTTCTTTGAGTTTCTCTCGCCTCTGTCCCCATTTTCCGATTTCACGTTCTGGCTGTGTTTTTCGCCCAATGAATTGGTGCCCTTGGTGCCTATAATTCTCCCTTGATTCCTCAGCTGGTAAAGTGCACTATGGCGCAACAGTCACACCCATGAAAACCTGTAAATTGGGTGAGTAACTTTCTACCGCGGACAAATCCCTCCAATTTTCTTGATCAAGAGTTTTGGCTTTTTTTTTCTATGAGGCAAAACGCCGTGATGAACAGTTTGATCAAATGCAGCTATAAACGACAGCGTCTGGAAGCTGTCTTCATCTTTGATTTCAAATCAATCACTCAGAACTAACAAAAAAAGAAGATGGGTCCCCTCCTGAGGAAAACTCACACTTGTTGAAATGGGGTCTTAGGAGTACTTTCACCATGAGTAATACAACATCTTTTCCTCAGCGCCTTCGGAAAGGAATTACGTGCGACACGTAATTCAATCAGCTTGGAAAGAAAATGTTTCCACCGTCGCTAAGAGCCGGGGTCATTAAGAAACTGTCTTCCAGGGCTTCTGGAGCAAGATGAAGCAAGGTTACCAAACTGGGTTCGGGCCTGAATGCGTAATGACCGTGCCTGCAGCACATGCATGCGTCAGTCAGGCATCCTGCACTAAAACCACACCTGCGGCTGACTGCACATTTGTGCATTCGTCTCCTTGGGTTTTTTTTTCCCGTACCCGTCTTCCGTAATTTTCCGACACCATGCACTGAATTATCCCCACCTCAGAATGGGCCAGAGTACATATCAAAGAGGTTTACACGTATGTCCCCCCATTCCGTGTGACATTTCTCGCTGATTCTGTGCCAGCTGAATACAGAATCTTCCCTGTAATTCATGCCTACCCCCCGGGAGGCTCCCTTGACAAGCGACCACAGAACATGAATGGTTTCTGACAGCAAAACATCCGCAGACTTCAGCACAACAGGAAAGGGCTACACCACCACCGCCTTCAATGAAAAAGAATCACCGGTGATCCCCTCTTCCGGTAAACATCCTGTTCGCCAGCATCCAAAATGAGTTTGAGATCAAGACGAGACGTTCCTCTTTTGTTTGGCTTGTTCGACATAAGCTACACTCCAGCTCGGTGATTTGCAGTGTTGTGCCAACTTTAAACAACAGAGTCACTCGAAGCATCCAGCCTCCAATCCACCCATGCAAGAATACAGGCTTTTACCTCGTGCCTTTATGTTTGCACTGTGCAGTCTATGCATGGATAGACATATGGCACACTGAGGCAGACTCTTCCCAAACCACAACAAATTCCTCGGATGTTTAGGCAGTGATGCAGGTCCCACTGCTTTTCAAAGTCCAAGTTTGAGAGTCCTCCCTCTTGGCATGACCAGACTTGACCCACTTCCAACACAAACTGGCAGGCCAAATCCAAGGGGGAAAATGAATGCCGACAACAACAACTATGCTGGTTACCAATTAAAACAGGAAACACCACACAAAAATGCATCAGCTATTTATATTTGCCGGGTACTCTGCAGTAAAACACAACCTTTTTTTTTACCATAACAACCATGCAAGTTTTAAATAAATGCAGTATTTCTCAAAGTCATCCACAGCTGGCAAGTAGCAGACGTCAGATGCAAAACTATTCAGGCTGAGCCATCCATTTCTCTGACGATCATCCTCCACGCACTGGAGTTCCAAGCCGCTCACCTCACACTTGTACTAACCCGTGGATTACCGGCATAAATGTAATCCTCGTTGAAAAGACAGATGGGCAACCCCCATCTAAGCAGGCTTCAGCGGTTCACTTAGATTACCGACTGCTGCAAAAATGTACGCTCATCACCAGGGCCGTTTACACCGAGCCACTGCCCGAGTTTCAATTAATAACATGCAGTTGGTGTCGCAATGCCGGTACAATCACCACTGGCGGAGCAGTTACCATACCATGTTAATTGATTCCTCCCTTGATGATTCCCTTGATGATAAACAAAAAAAAGGGAGATTACCAGGCGGTTGAAGCTGCAGTGCTGAATACCAGACATTCCCAGGTTGGCAAACAGTTGCATACATGTACTGTGTATTGCTGAGCAGTTAGGAATACCGGTACCCTGCTTGTCCTTAATATCCCCTGTGCACAGATGGTCTTTTTGGACAGCATTAATTACATTTCTAGTCTTCCTGACATTGTAAGCAGCCGGTTTCCACGGGTGGTTGCCCGTTGAAGTGTGGCGAGTCAGGCTAGAGAGACAAGAGGGAAGAAATGATGCTATGTAACCGCGGATACGTCGGCTAGCTAATAATTCAAGAAAGAAAAAGAAGAAAAAAAAACCTTGTTATGTCGTTGGGCCGTCACAAGACAGCATGTGCTCGATTACACACGGATGGTTTGGTGTTAATACTAACATGCGCCACGCTTGCCTGCGTTGTGGGCATGCAGGCGTCGACGTCCCACTCGCAGTACACAACGCCAACAAGCAATGTCAACGGTTGTCAACTGACGATCTCACAAAGGGTGTGTATACTTCAATGCCGGCATTCAGTGCCTGGTGCACCAGGGACGTGTAGTTAGACTTGCCTCAAGGCTGCTGTTTTTCAAAACCTTTCTCATACAAATCACATGCTGGAAACAGTTTCAGAGTGCTGCCAAGTTGACAAAATTTGCCAAATATAGAATGTACATGTACTGTACATGTCTATTTGCTTTTGCTAACAGGTTACCAGCCAAAAAGGTATGTACCAGTAACACAGTATGTATATTGTGACTGGTAGTCTGCCAAGTTTTGCTTTGAACTTGATGGCTCTAATAGCAGAATGACTGTATGTCATGGCACCAGTTGAGAATACCAATTAGGAGTTACCTGTTAACCCCTTCATGCCGGGATTCTTTTGACTGCGACTGCTGGGCTGTGGTATGCGCAGTAAGCAAAAACCCTATCCAGCAGCAGGTCCACATTGAAACCGCAGGTGCATGTTGAACAGAACATGTACATGTATGTGTGGTATGCACTAATCCTCACACAGAGCCACAGCATTTGCTATCTCCTGGCTAGAAGGGGTTAAGCGGAACTCATGTTTTTAATGTTTACATGTACAATTCTCCGGGACTTCAGCTAAGCACTGAAAGACAAACCATTTTGGTTAGGAGCCTGTTTCCAGAGGGCATTCTCTGAAAAGGTCTAAAGAAGAATGTAGAACGGCATGTGGGACACAGAAATCCGTCTATGATCCAGCCATGAAACGAGGCTACCATGTCTACCCTCCGTCTCCAGCGTCAGTCACACAAACCCCCGGGGGGCGGGGGGTTTGGGAGAGAGCGCAGTGCACTCCGTAAACACCCTCTGGGGTCGGGGGGCCGACGCAGCACTCATAATCCCTTGGATTAAAATCCGCCCCAGCTTGTCTTTCCGAAATGCAAAACGTTTTTTCATTACCGGCCAAGAAGAAATGAGATTACAAAACGAACGGCGGGAACAGTGCCTGTGCCACGGCCCATATCTCGAAAGTGTCTTTAGTCATTTTGGGGGTGGAATTCTTAGAGCAACCTGGAGCAAGTTTGCGATCTAAATCACCAATGTTGTGAGGAGGAATTTCAATCACATATCAACTGATCTGTGGTGCAAAACAAGATTAATACACGGCACCGCCAGAACAAAGGGCAAAAGCGTACATAATGAATGTACTTCCACTCGTCCAGTATGCATTCATGTACCATAGTTAATTTACCGTTGTATATTTACACATATAAAAAGGAAATAGTCAAGGACATGTAAGCAAGCACAATGGATCCCCTTTTGACATTTAACATGGCACAAAATTGTTTACTTTACAGTCAGCCTTTGCACCACATCTGTATTGCATTTTTGATCTAATTTCGCCTGTCCCAGTTTCTGCAATGATATTTCCATTTTGCTGACCCAATTTCGCTTCAACCCAGTGTTCTGTTTTACTTTTCAAAAATAATTGCTGGGGGCCGGACATTGTGGCATGCATTTTTGCATCGTGAGAACGATCTGGGGGAATGTTGGGCTCGGAGCAGGCATACCGGCAAGTCGAACGGATGAAAACTGTGCCGTTAATATGTAGGTCACTGGACGCTAAGCTAATTACGCGTCCAGACCTGACACGGTGGAAGGGACGGCCCAATCGCCCAGACACGGACGTGAATATTCATGGGAGCATTTCTCCCTAAATATGCAGAGTGCAGGAGACGCACCAGCCTGTGGCGTGTGAAGGGGTGTCTGAAATTGCGGGCCGGGGGGGGGCTTCACACGTGTAGGCAGCCCCGTAAGCTTCCAAGAAAATTGAAATGACCTAAACTAGTTGGACATCTGCTGTGTGGAGCCTTTCTGAATCCTTCCATTGTGCAGGAGCCTACGGCACATTTTTTTACATTAATTTTCAAGGAGCATCAAGCCCCATGTAAAGTAACAGTGGCTGGGCTCTGCCTGCTTCAATCCTGCAAAATAGTCTGAAATCTTCAAATGGATTCTAGTTAACCTGTTATATTAACCCTGACCCCCCCCCCC